GGGCGCGGCCCGGCTGGCCCGGGCCAGCCCCCCGCCCTTGGCTGGCGGGGAGGCAGGGGCTCCGTGGGTGGACAACTTCGGTGGAGCTGGCAAACAGCTGGGCATAAACGTCGGGTTTTGACTGATGGTCCCGCAACGTGCGCACAAGGACTCCTGTGTTCCTTACCCAGCTACAGCGGCTGTGCCTTCCAGAATGGCACCAGCGTGTTCTAGGCTGTTTACTGCTCCCCCTTCCCGCTCTGCCTCTCACAGAGTTCATTTTTTTTTCCCATAGTGTTTTCATAATGTTAGAGTAACTTTCTTTTAGCATCTCCCACGTTTTCTGGGAGACTTTGCAGCCGCAGGGAAAAAGCATTTACCTTTTCAAGCAATGTTTTCAACTATTTCTAAATTACTGTTTTCAAATTTTGGTAGAGTTTACATAGACTTGTCTCCAGTGGTTAGTTTTGACTTATTTTGTTTTTTGTAGCGTGTAAAACATTGGGTCACTTAGCACCTGATATTTTAGCGTGGGGAAAAAAGTAAAAATTTTGGAATGGAGAGATCTGCAAATAATCTTGACTAAGCCTTTGATTTTATCTGTGATTATGTTTCACAACATCCTGTTTGTTCCTTATAAAATTGGGAAACCTTGTTTTTGAACAAATTGTTGAGTATTTTGTGTTTTGTAAGGAATTAGTTGTGTATCATTCAAACCTCCTTTGTGGTTGTCTCCCCCAGTTTTGTAGCCTTTGATACTTTGAGAATGCTACTAGAAAATGGTTTAATTTACTAACCACAAACCTATAAACATAACAGCTGACCAGAAAGCTTTCTATATGAAACGTGTGATGAATTCCTTTACAGCGTTATAACTTTGAGTCATTCAAGCATTTTTTAGATCAAAAATAGAGATCGTAGGCAACCAGATCATAGAGGCCTGTGGGTAGTTTGTATTTGGGGAAATAGTGGTTAGCTCAAGCTGAAAGTCATACATGTTGGATCTCAGCTTCTGTTATCAACAAGAGGCTGTGAAAACAAGATACGTACAAATTACTGATGACAGTAGAAAGAACTGATTCACATCCTTCTCTTTTCCCAGCCCAGCAGTCAGTTAAAATGGCTTGTTGCTGTAGAGCATAAACCAGCTGAAAATGTACACAAAAATCTCTGCAGACGTTTCAAAAACTGGAGAGATCAGCCGTTTTCTTAGGTAAAAGACAAACAAGGAAAATCAATTTTTAGTTGCTTTTTCGTGTTAGTATAATGTATCATGTTTAGTAGGAGATATGAGCTACATCAAATCATTGGTAGTCAAATCATGTACTCAAAATTCGTCATTGGTACATGATAAAAATATAAATGTTTTTCTTTGGAGCTCTTTCATGTGGAGCTTCAAAATCATCATTGAAATCAAGGACAAGTTGGATATAAAAGGACGAGTATAAAGCTTATGCCTGCAGCCATATCACATAAGATGTAGCACATCTGTAAACCCAGGTCATCAATTATGGTTATTAATTTGGCTATGATAATCTCTAAGGGAAACTGGGAGCCAGTAGATGGCACCTGTTCCTCTTAGCATTTAACCATTTGAAGACTGCAGATCCTGGTCTTCGGAGCTGTGGCATCTCATGCAGAAATAAAGACTTAAGTCCCAGTTGCTGTGTTCATCGCAAACACCAAACTCTTACAAAAAGAGTAAAGAAAAAGTAAAAGAAAGAGTAAAGGATCACATTTTCCTAGCAACTTGGAATTCTGTCCACCTTTCTTCATGTAGGCCCAGATTGGTACCATTTTTCACTTACTCCTACCAGTCTGTTTCCTCTGTCTATGTTGTGGGTTATCATGGTTCAGTTTCAGTCTTAGTCCTAGTTGCTCTTACATGGTGCCGTGTCTCATCGTCTCTAACCCTTTCTCTCCGTTGCTGGCCACCCAGGAAGTGCTGAGAGTAGGAGCGGTCCACATGAGGAACAGGCAATACAAAGCATGTTACTAAGAAACGCATTAGCTCACGGTTTATAAAGTGGAGATGAGAATGTTAGAAGATTGCCAAGATCAAAAGATTGCTTCAGTTGAACTGATCTGAATTCAGCTTTATCTGTGTATTGCAGGAAAGCGCTGCTGTCGTCTCCAGCTACCAAGAGCTCGTGGTTTCTAATAGGGCAATTCTTGTTTTACTTTTAATCTGGAAGAATAGTTTTGCCACTGCACTAACCCTCTGCGGGCATTCTACTCCACGCAGGCAATGCTGTGCTCCGGCCAGAGACCTGAAAAGTTGGTCAGCATCATGCTACTGACAACAAAAAGTAGTCAAGTACAGAATGTGATTTGATGCCCTTCACAAACTTTCACGAGCAGTGTTATAATGAGTTTGTCAGTGTTATGAGTCATCTTAACCTGAAAATAATGATAGCTTAGAAGTTTTTTCCACTTCAGAAAATATGAAGATCCCAGTTATCAGTGTGAAACATCATTCATATCAGGTATTTATAAAACTTAGAGTGTAGGCCTCTAAAAATTTATGGAAAGCTGAAGGTATTTAAGAAAAAATTGAGGTCTGAGGTGAGATGAGAAGGTGTGACCGCTCAGCCTGAGAACAGTTTTCATCTGTCTTTGTGGAATTAGAGCATTGAGTACTGCTACTCCCTTGTAGCCTAAGGGAGAAAAAGTGAAAAGTTAGATAGAAAGATTGTATAGTGATACTCAAAGTGAGGCCAATGGACATTGTCAAGATAATTTTTTTGTTAAAAAGTTTTGGGATACTTGTGTTTCATTCCCATTTTCAAGTAGTACATGAAAATACTGACACACTAAGGAAAAAAAAAAAACAACCCAACATTTGTTCCATATGATATGTAACATAAAGCGTTTCTTTCCTCATTTTGGCCCCAGAAAATTAGGAACAAGCAGAACATTGCCAAGATCATCACTGTTTTATACTGACCTACAGACTTGCCCCATGCTAGTTTAAAGTTATCCTTGATAAATTAATAAATGTGCATCTAAAATGTCTTTGCCATTCTCGGGTCATTCAACACCTTTTGGAATATCATCTTGAGGTTGAAGAAGCTTAAGTTCTGCCAACAGCATCTTCTATCTGTCCTACATTTGTTTTTAGGATGTGTTTAACCTGATCTAGGTCTGATTTTTCAGGTGGAAGATTTAAATTTGAATGCCTAAGCAAAATACCATGATTTTGTATTTTGTTATTAATCTGTTGAAGGCAAGAATTGATTTTTTCCAGAGGCAAACACTACAAGTTTCCATTAGGGAACATCTGTTGCCAGCCCACAATATTAGAGTACAATTTGGGGAATTCAGCCTGATATTCATGGTGCTGCTTTAGTTTAGTTCCTGCAGCATTTGTTGTTGCTCTGAAGAGAATTAAAAGTTTCTTTGATGTCCATATTGTAATTTTAATGCAGGCAAGCATTAAAGACATCATTAGCGTTAATTTCCACTCTGGAAATAAATTTGCAACGGGTACTGAAGAAGCTGAAGAAACCTTCTTCTATCAAACATGGAAGTCCACTCGGTACTATGAAACTCAGGATGGAAAGGTCATGTCTTTTCCTAAGAGCTCTGCAAGGGGGCTAACTGCCACAAATTCTTCAAGTTCTGTAACTTTTTTTAATCTGTTTTGTTTAATCAAGGCCAGTTTCAGCAGAAACCTGGCCCATTCCTCTGCTATTGCGCATTCCTTCTTGCTTGAGATTCGCATTCAGCGAATGAACCTTTTTCTCATCCTGCCTGTATTTTGCTGTGGAAATGCTATTACAAGAGACAGGTGGACTATTGCTCCTTAAAAAGAACTTAAAGGTACTTAAAAACGGATAATAAAATTCTGAGGCAATTCACCTCCTCAGGGAGACCTGTTCAATATGTTTTTTTCTTCAGTGTGATAACGGGGGGTGGCGGGGGGCGTGTGGGGGGGGTGCGGGCGTATTAGGATTGCCTCCAACGAAGGCGACTTCTGGTGGCTGC